CACAGTCTCATTTTCATATTAGCTTCATTTTACTTTTTAAAATAACACTTGCATTGTAAGATACAATTCTGGTATGATATTGTAACTTTGGTAATAGGAAAATTACGATAATTGTTTGCTAATTTCCTTGGCTAGAAGAAAGAAACCATCAAAATATCCCTACAGTTTTACAAGAAAGGCAAGAGACTGGCACAGCACAAATTAAAATGCGGGAGGTAAGATGTGAAAAGGTGGGAATCAAATAAACTGCTGCTTATCACCTTGTATTTCTTGTGCTTCAGGAACAGAACATGCGTGGTCAAGTATTTGTTTGACATTGTCATGGTAATAACACACTGACACCACCAACGCTCCCGGGTTCGTAAAGACTCTGCAATCACGATTCTAAAGTTGCCTCTTGTAGGCTTGAGAACTGTTTTGCATCATTGGCAAAGGGCTTTTGGATTAAATCCAAGGCATTACCAGCAAAGGCTGAGGTATTTGGGCGGGGGGGAAGGATTCTTTTAAGGACTGCAGAAGTTGAAAACTTGCTCTTAATCCTTTCTTCTAGGCTATTCTCATCTGATTCTTTGAAAAGACTCCTGTAGTAACCTTAGTTTTCACGAGCTGGTATTCAAAGCTATCATCTAGACTAAAAGGATCGTGCTATTCCATAACCTTAGAATGGTAATAATTTCAGTGTTGTCCTAGTGCTGCGGAAACCATTTAGATTCTGTAGGAGGAAGTAAGATCCACAGACGTTCAGCTGGATTTCTCCAACCAATGTGTTTTTGCCTCTTATTTATTCTTTATGCTTAGATCAGGAACGGCGTACAGAAATTCCGTTTTACAAACTGGCATTAGCTCTTTAAGATTACTTGTCTCTTGAGGTTGAACGTGCATGTGCTTATACTGGGATCTGCAAAATCTGTTCTTCAGCTTTAAGTGTTTTGCCTGTGCTCTTAGAAGGAAATGAGAAAGTAGCGTTGGGGTTTGCTGCAGGGTTCCTCTATCACACAACTTGCTGTACGTGGAGAACACCTCATACAGCCAGAACACCTTGGCTTTTACAGTAATCCTCATCCCAGAGACTTAACTACTTGAAACAACCAGCTGTGAGAGAAGTCTCTCCTCTGAGAGTGTACATTGAGCCTCTGTTTTTACAATATGTCCTAAAGCCATCGATGGAGTAACTACTTCTCCGTGGTATTTTTGATAGGGTTGAGTAGAATGGGTCGAGGGAAGGGTTTAGGTGCCCCACTGGGGAGGGGAAGCAGTTAGAAATATTAAAAAAGTAGGTTTTGTCCTGGTGCAGTTGTGACACTCGGCATCTTCGTGCTACCGCCGGAACAGTGTTTCACGTCTCGCTGTAAATAAAATCTGCTCGGCGGCCAGGGCTAATTTTATCACCGTCTTGCAAGCAAAAACCCCAGTGCCAACAGCGACTGAAAATTAGTTTGGGTTTGCCCTTGTTCCCGATTCGTCCTGCCAGGCCGGATGAAGTAGCCCGCGGGAGGAGCCGTGTCGGTACGAACGCCCCCGTGAAACCCTCGGCGGAACGGGACTCCGGGCCTCCCTCGCGCCCGTCCCCTCACCGGGAAGCTCCCACCCGCGCTGGGCGGGGCTGGGACAGGCCGAGGCTGTCAGAAAGGGCCGGAGCCGGCCGGGGAGCCCGCGGCTCCCC